ACGCCTAACTTGAAACTTGATGGCGCGGCATGGCGCCAAGACGGCCGGAGGGTTCCAGTGCAGCGTATGCGCACCGCATGCGTGCTCCTGCCGCCATCCACCCTGCTGGCGGCCACGCCAGAGATTCGCCGGGGAAACATTTTCAAGCGCCCCGGACAGCCCCCGCCGCCGCCGCCAGCCGGCCCCCGGACCGCCCCCGGCCGTCGATGAATTTATGCACCCAGCCACTTGTTTTTCCAAATGTTTTCCAGATCGACAGTTCTGGCGCCACGCCGCTCTATTCTTCTTGCGGCATCCCATTTTAAAGGATACACATTTTTACGTCGGTTCCCCGATAACGCGCGCAGCGCGCACGCATGTAAAACGGTTCACCCGGCACGGTTACCCAAATAGAAACGGTACGTATCGGAAAATCCACTGGGATGGGGGGCGATGCCTAACCGCCGCCGTAGCCCCCGAACCGAGCTCGATTTTGAAAGGATTGTGTGTGTTTCTTTCTGGTTTGAAACGCACAGGGCGCGTAAGTGGCTTCGAGTAACACAACGGGCTGGAAGCGTACTCTGTGTGTGCGAGAGAGGCAGAACGGCGAAACGGCTGGGCGGAGAGCGCCGTGACGGGTAGGCCGTCCCGCCGGACAGCCGTGCGTTGCGGGCAGGCCTATGCCGCAGGCGCTCCGGCGGCCGGACTCCGCTTTCTCGCTCGCTCCCCGTCCCTCCCTCTCTCGCCCCTCACTGCAGAGTGGCGCGGTGCGGCGCGGCGCGGCGCGGTCCGCGTTCAAAGACTGGCGCGCTGTCTCGGCCGCACCGGGCCCGGCCGGGCCGCACAAAGGCCGTCCAGATAAGGCCTTTGGATATCAGAGGGCTCCGGTAAGCGCAGCGGCGCAGCGCAGCGGCGACGCCGTGTCACAGCGCCGCTCCGATTCGCCGGACAGGCGGACGGACGGACGGACGAACAGACAGACAGACAGACAGACAGACAGATCGGCGGCGGAAAGAAAGGCCTTCAAGATATCAGCTGGACACGGGGGCGGGGCCGGCGGCTCTTTGTCTCCGGCTTGGCGAGGGAGAGGGAGAGAAGGAGAGAAGGGGAGGGACAAGGAGAGGGACAAGGAGAAGGAGAGCGAAAACAAAGCTTACAATAGTATCGCGTCATAGCTGCTAATCTCGTTTCCCCTTTGCTCCGGTTCCTCCTCCTCGGAATTTGAACGCGCGCGTCTCGGCCGCGGGCAGGCGGGCAGGCTGGCGTGGCAGGCTCGGCCAGCGGCCTCGTCCCGAAAGCGCTTTGGTGCCCCGTCCCTCTCGCACTCCAAGGGCGAGAGGGAAGTGCGAGAGGGAGCGCGCGAGGGGCCGCTGCTCGGAATCAGTCCGCAGGCTCGGCTCGGCTCGGGCCACTGCTGCCGCTGCTGATGACAGTGTGGCACAAAGGAGGCCGCATAGGAGTGGTTGCGTGTGCAGCGATAGCGATGGGGATGAGGCTGGGCCTGGATGGTCTGGATGGGTACCGTGCGCCGCCATAGGCGTAATTCCTTTCCAAGCCCCGGGCCCGCGAGCAGAGCAGAGCAGGGCAGAGCCCTCTCTAGAGGTGCACCTGCTACGGGGCTCAGAGCATCGCCGCGCTGCGTCAGCCCTCCTGGCGAGGGGTACGACATCCATCTCTCTCTCCCTCTGCCTCTCTCGGGCGCAGTGGCGCGCCCTGCCGGCGGGTAACGGCGGCGCGCAACCAGACTAGACGTCCCCTTCACTCCGATTCACCCCGTCGGCAGATTATACGACGTCTGTCGGTCCGTCGGCCTCCATGTCTGTCCTGCTGACGCGCCCCGGCCGTTTTTACCGCTTTTATTATTGGCTGAGGTGATCCGCGCAGTATGGCGCGAGAGGCCGCGGGACGGGAACTGCCAATGCGAATCGCGATCGCGTCCGCGTCGGCGGTCCGGAGCGTCCGGAGAGAGCCGTTTCCACGGACGCCGAGCTGGACGCGGCCGCCTGAACGCGGCAGTGACTTCGGCGGCGTCTGGTTAGGTTCGGTTGCTCGGCGCGTTCGTGTTCAACAGGTTCACAGCCGCCCTCGCCCTCGGCCTCAGCTGCTCTCGGGCCTTGGCCGCCTCGACTAGGCGTGATGCTCGAGGCGCTGGTGCCCGCGGAACAACTTTGAACCCGAGCCAAGCAGGGCGTGGTGCAGGGCGTCTTGCAGGGCGTGGTGCAGGGCGTCTTGCAGGCCGCACCGGGCCGGGCCTCCGCCTGCTCGGCCTGCTCCGGCACGCCCCTAAACCAGCCCGTTTTATTCGGCCGTCCTGGCGGCCTGGCGGCCCGGGCGTTTGACGGCCAGGGGAACGAGGCCGGCGATACCGACGTGAAAACGGCCGCCATTACAACGGCTATAAAACATATGTAAGGCACCAGTCGGCCGGCGGACAGCGCCCTGCAAGAAGAGGAGGGAGGGGAGGACGTGCGGCCGCCGCCTGGACACGGACACGATGGACATGGACATGGCGTCGAGCGGCGCCTGCGGTGAGCACGCCTCGCCCCGTCAGCCCGGCCAGGGCCAGGCACCCTGCCCGGCCACCGTGGCGAACAGTTTCCGGTGTCAGCGTGAACCTATACCCCCTTACCCAGGGTACTATTTCACTAGGAGGAAAGTACCTTGCCCTAGGGGAGGGTAATAATTCCCTAGGGATATCATACTCATGTAGGGTGGGGGGTAATATTTTCCTAGGGTAACTTTACCCCCTCTAGTGGGGGTAATTTTCCACTAGGGGAAAAATACCCTCTCTCTGGAGGGGGTAAAAATTCCCTAGGAAAAAAATACCCATCACAGGGGGGTTATCATACACTAGTAATTTCTTACCCTCTCTCCGGAGAGAGGTACATGCCCACTAGGGTTAAGTTACCCAGGGGATCATAATTTACTAGTGAATTCGTACTTCCCCACCAGAAAAACGAGTGTGAAGATGAAAAAAAAAATCCACAAGCAATTAGAGAAAGCAAGTCATATACAAAATGAGTCAAAATAAATTCTAAACACAGAAAACAACTTGATTCACGAATTTTAATGTTTTCAGCACCATAGGTCATTTTTTTCTTAATTTTAAACTTTGCGAAATAAACGATGAGTTAGTCAGGTAGGTAGACGAATGCCCAAAACTCAGGAATGGGCGCCCGCTTTGGCTTATCCTTAGATTATGTAAAAATCAAATTTACTTTTTTAAATTTGATTTTTTTGAAATTGCGTGTGGAACGTGTCTTTCAACACCTTAATGCTCGTTTTCTGGTGAGGGAGTACAAATGCCCTAGTAAATTATTAACCCCTAGGTAATTTTACCCTAGTGGCCATGTACCCTCTCAGGAGAGAGGGTAAGAAATTACTAGTGTATGATTACCCCCTGTGATAGGTACTTTTTTCCTAGGGAATTTTTACCCCCTCCAGAGAGAGGGTATTTTTCCACTAGTGGATTATTACCCCCCCTAGAGGGGGTAAAGTTACCCTAGGAAAATATTACCCCCCACCCTGCATGAGTATGATATCCCTAGGGAATTATTACCCTCCCCTAGGGCAAGGTACTTTCCTCCTAGTGAAATAGTACCCTAGGTAAGGGGGTAAAGATACACGCTTACACAATAAGGGCGAAAGCGGCAGCCTGCACCTGAAAATCTGGCGGGGCGGCGGGGCGGTGAGGCGCGCCGCGGCGAAAGTCCCTCAGGGCAACCCGCCGCCACCACACCGCGTCCCGCCGCGCCCCGCCGCGCCCCGCCCCGCCGCGCCCCGCCGCGCCCCGCCGCCACCACACCGCGTCCCGCCGCGCCCCGCCGCGCCCTGCCACCGTCATGGGATCGTTGATTGCTCTTCTGATTGCTGTGCTTGGCTCCCTCGCCTCCCTTTGACGCGGGGCCAAGCCAAGTGGCTCAAGGTGTGGCGGCCTGGCGGTGGGTGGGCCTGGAGGGCGGCAATTTAACGCGAGGCATGACGGCGTTGCGGAGTCGGTTTCGCCGGTTTCGCGCGCGCCGCAAAGGACGCAATGCCACCAACGGCTCCTCAAAAAACAGAGAAGAAGGAGAAGAAGCGAGGGGTCAGGCGGGGTAGGGCGAGATACTTTGGCGCCTGTCTGCTGGCGGCACTGCCTCGCCACTGCCTCGGCTCTGGCTGCGACCAATGAGGTGTGCGGCCTCCAGTCTCACCGTGGCCGCCGTGGCGAGCGAGGCGACCCGGACGACATTTGTCTCCCCGCCCGCTGTGCACCCCCAGCCAGGGCGAGTTGGGGCGACGGGGACACCCCTCACCCCCAACCCCTCACGACCCCCGCAGCCGCAGCCTTTGCATGCTGCGCGAGTCGAACGCGTCGCCGCCTGCCGTGCTGGCCGTGCTGGCCGTGCCGGCCGTGCCGGTCGCCGGCGAGGGGCGAGGGGCTCGTGTCCGCTGGGACGCGCGCACGGCGCACGGCGCGCGGGGCGTGGGCGTGCCGGGATTCCAATATAACACGGCGGGGACGTGGATTGTGGCCTACGCCGCCGTGGCCGCACCGCCGCACGCTCCCCCCAGGCGTCTGGCGGCGCCGACCGCGCCGACCCCGCCGCCCGGCCACGGCGTCGCCCTGCGTGCTACGTGCCCCGCAGGCGCCCCAGGAACCCACCAGAGGTCCACCAGGCCAGGATCTTGGACCGCTCGCTCGGCCCCACCCGCTCCGCCGCGCCCCGCCGGCCCGGCTCGCTACAGCTCATTGAATTTTTATGAGATTTCGATCTGTAGGCGTCGTGAGGATTGGGGCTTCTATTTCCTTGCGCCGCTCCGCGCCGCTCCCTCAGGACAGGGGCGCGACTCGCGCCGAGTCCGACCAGTCCGAGGCGACGGCCGACTTGCAGCGGGAGGGAGCCATGGAGGGAGCAGAGCGGAGCAGAGCGCCTTGATTGGTCATCGGCCTGGCCTGGCGCCCTGGCTCGGTGCTTCGGATTGCCTTTCTGTTTTCTCATTGTGCGCCTTTTTGCTTTCCCGCCGGCTGGATGACGCAGGTGGGCCACGGCATCCCCGAGGTGCTCAACACGTCCCAGGGACTGCTGCAGGCGCGCCTCGACCTCCACCTCCGCCTCACCGAGGAGCACTTCGCCGGGTCGCGCGACCACGACTCGCTGCCGCTGCGCTGCCACGCCGAGGTGCCGCACCTGTTCATCCACAACCAGTACCTCAGGCTGCCCCGCCGGACCAAGCAGCCCATCCCGGCCCGAGGTGAGCATTGAGGAGTCTCCGTTTAGTTTGGCCGTCGCCGCGAGGCGCGTCGTGACCGTCGTGACGTGGTGTCCCCCCGTGTGTTCACAGTGACCCAGCCCAACGGCGGCGTGCGACTGCCGGCGTCGGGCGGCGTGCTGCTGCTGGCCCTGCTCGGCGTGCTGCCCGGGCTGACGGCCACCATGAGATGATGGCCCTGCCTGGCCTGGCTGTGCCTCGGCCCCTGAGCACCCCGTCGAGGCCACCGCCGCGGTCCTGCTCCCTGGAGGCTGGGCCTGCGAGGCACGCCGGCCTTGAGTCGCTGCATTCCTCTGAGGCCCGATACCGCAGATCTTCAGTACTCCAGAGTGCCGGTCAAAGGAAAGGCCCCTCCATTGTGGAGGCGAGAGAGAAGCGCTGCCCGGCCGGGACGCGGCATGGTCTCTTTTCGTTCTTGACGTCCGTGACAGAAGACGGAAGAGTCCACATATGAGAGGAGGTGCGGTGTGCGTCCATGTGTAGTTTACACCTGAGATGGCAGTCAGAAGTCAGCCATGCTTGGGACTTCCCGGTACCCGGAAGCCTGAGACCTCTCGGTCCACCATTTGTTCGGCCAAGAGCATCTAAAAATTCACCTTTAGTTTATTGGGCTTGTGGAAACATTGATATCAATTCAAGATAATCTATGAAATGAAATGACATAATAAGACATTGATACACCCTTGCTGTGCAAGAAATTGTTTTCTTTCTATTTTCCTCACCTTCTATGATGATATAAGTCCAGCGCTTGTATGTTTTATTTGTGAGGAAGAATTGCTGGGTCTCATAACTATCAATTTGTTAAAAATCTTTTAAAAATAATTATGCATGAGTTGCATGTATAGTTTTTGTTTTATATGTGTCTGTCTTGACGTGTTTATACACTTCATTTGCAAGTCATGTAAAAATAAAGTCCCTTACAGAAAAGTGGTTGACACCTCAGATATTAAATGCTGGTTCACAATTCGAAAACAAGCCCCAGAGTGATAGAGATCTAAATTTTAAATCCTGTAGAAATTGACGTACACTACAAAGAATTGGTTTGTAGAGCCTCTTCTACTTAACGGTATGGTACAGAGATCAATCTGTCATGCTAAACGGTTGTAACAAAGGTGTAAAACTAGATTGGTTCCTGCAGCATGATTCTCTAGCAAATGTCACCATTAATGGTAATATAGAGCCCTCCTTTGTGTTATATGCCTTTCCAAATTTGAGAGTTTGTTGTAGAATTAATGTGGTAATTTATTTCTCTGATAATGTGAATAAGTAAATAAATATGTTTTATGTGATCTTGAACTCATCATTGTTGACAAAATTAGGATCAAAGGAATCTCAAATCAGACCAGTTAAGCTTGTGAAAGAAACATCTTTAGTTACTTTAAAAATGGAACACAGTTAAAATTAACGTAACAGAATTACTAACAAAACTATCCTCTAATTTTTGGCTGATTCCATCACATTGGTAACTTAAAACATGTCAAATGGTAAAAAAATAGCAAAATAAAATAACACTTCTATCCTTAGGTTAAAACAGAATATGCACTTATTCACAAGTGGTGCTGTATATGACCTGCCGACTGGGGGCATTGTGGAACTAGGGTTCATTTGAAACACTTTGTTCCTTAGATAGAGCCAGAGATTTAATTTCCTACAAATAAAATAAGAAAACAATGGAATTAGTTATAAAGATACTATTTGAAATACTATAAATTTGATTTTCATAATATGTTACCTCAGGAGTAAGTGTTGCGGGCCTTTTCCCTAAGACTTCTTGGATGAATTCTCTGCCCTTGGTTTGTACTACATAGCCACATGTGGAAAAATACAAAGCGTGCTCTCTCCATGGCTCATCAGTGGAAGCCCAGTCTTTCAGTCCTCCCCCACATTGGAAACAAAATGTCTTGTCTCCTAGTCCTGAAAAATAACAAAGAGCAAAATCATAGTATTGAAAATGGCAGCATCGTTCAGTTTTAGTTATATGTAAAGGGTGTGATAAAAACACTTACCTTTATAAAAGAAGCCAGCATCAGCAAGTTTCTGAGGCTTCGGTTTTAATGAACCAGGCCACTTGTCAAAGGATTCTAATCGGGCTTCTAGTGTGATGTATTCAGGGTAAGCAGGGCTGTATCTCCTGCGGATTCCTAATTTTTCAAGGGATGGTACAATAGGACAGTTATCTGACTTCCTATTCTCATAAATTCCACATGAATCAAAGGCACAAGATTCTAACAAAGGAAGTGGTGGCGGTGGACCAGAAGGGTCAATAGCAACATTTCCTACATCAGAGGGATGGCTTAAGAAGGGACATTTTTTCGACCATTTTTTGTGTTCTTCAAAAGGATTATCTTCTTTCTCCCAGCGTCCCACTTCAACATCACAGAAGGCACAGCATACAACATCTTCATTCTTGGTAAACCAGAATCCTGCCTTAGCCAACTGTCGAACATCAACAGTATTTGAGGGGTAGCCTCTATATGACCCAAGTCTTTGTTTCTCATCCTTGAAGTTTGGATTTTCACTATGAGGTATCAAGATCCTTAGATTTGGAGGCATCTGCAACAAAGAAACATATACAATGACATCAAGAACTGAGGTATTATGACCTAACAAAGTAAGCATCTTCAGACCAAGGCAACCCACAACACCCCCCCACCACGCTCGTAGCCAAGCCTGCCGAGGTCGAGGGATGCACAACGCAGCACACCATCAACATCAGATGGAACTGCAGAGAAATAAATTCAACCGAAAATCAGGCACAAATCAAATATTTAGGTGACACGCAATGGCTTCAGACGGCAAGGCTCAAAGATAAAACAGGCAGCAAAGAACGGGGGTGGAGGGGTGGGGTGAAAGCAGAACAGCTGGTCCAAAAGAAAGTCCTTTCAGCCCTTCATGATCAATTGCATGAACCAAATTCAGGACAACGTTATGAACAGATACTAACTTCACACTGTCGGAGGTTGCTTCTCCTTGAAAGACTCAAGACTCCAGGATTTGGGCTTAGGCTCCAGTTGCACTCCAGTAGAAGGCCTCCTTCCTGGACGCCCACGACGCTAGACCACGCCAACAGAATGCAACGAATGTCGATCCACTTGCAATACCCCTTCTTCTGACAAATATCTCACCGGCGATCCCTTAATTCTTTATTCCACACTTAATCAAACGTGAAGAGGGCGTTATTCAAAGCAAAACTAAAACTTGCTGCGTTTTAGTGTTGGCTGAGCTACCGTTGGCCAGACTGCAGGTGTTTCGAGAAGGCTCCGCTCGGTATCGCGACTGGATGAGAAATAAAGCGGTCGGCTTTTCCCGCCACGCGAAGTCACCTCACCCCCACCCCACCCCCTCCCCGTCAGCGGCGGTCTATCTCCTCCCCTCCCCGCCTCCCCCCTCACTCTCTCTCGCTCTTTGCCCACTGGCGGCGCGGCGGCCGGCGGCCTTTCAAACTCACACTCACACGGCTCTCGCGGTCGCCGCCAGAAGGAGGCCCCTCCGCGCGCGAGAACACCGCGCCCGCGTCCACGCGTGCTCGCGGCCGCGAATCACTTGGATCTGAGTCACCCACCGGTTTCTGACTTCGGCTGTGCAAATGCTCCTGGACGTCTGAACCGACCGAGCGACTGACGGGACTGCTTGCACGACTGGCGCCAAACGGAGTCATCCCTGCCCTGCGCCCTTTTGGGGGTTATGGTGCGGGTGCTTGAGTAGCGACCAAGACCAGGAGGCCCCACCAGTGACCTCGCGGGCCGCGCCACGACCGCCAGGATGTCCGCGGACCGCCTCAACAACGGCCTGGAGATGGAGGAGCTCGAGCGGAGGACCCGCTTCCAGGTCAACCGGGTGGACTCCTCCAACGCCAAGAACGCCGAGCTGGAGAAGCTGTGCGACGACGAGGACCGCGTCGAGATCCGGTCGAGGACGGGGACCACGGCCCAGGACGACGGTGAGTACCTTGCAAGCTAGGCCTCTCGTTGGCGAATCGTGCCCGGTCGATTCAGCAGACGGATTTGTCGCCGTTTCCTCGAGGCCGGCGGAGCATGTCGCCAGCTGGCCGCCACCCCTCCCGTCGGCCACCCCGCGGGAGCCTCCCCCCCCCCCCCCCGCACCCTCGGCCATTCATCCGGCACCCCACACCCCGCGCCACCCCTTCGACTGAGCCGGCCGGGTGCCTGGAGCAGCAACAAGCGTGCGTCTGGAATGCAGCACGCTGGAACCCTGCACGTGGAACTAGTGCCCCAGCGCTGCGACCGGTGCTGCGAACGCCACCTCTGGCCCCTCTCCGCGGCCCGGGGCACCTCCTTGTTTGACTTTTCGGAGGCGCGTCGCCGCACCTGGTCGCGTGAGCTGTGATCTATGTGACGCACAACATTGTCGCCTCCGAGGTCGCCTTCATTGTGTCTCCACGGGGCGGTGCTCACGCTGCTCGTTTGTGGGCGACCCCCGGAGAAAGCAGACTCAGGCAGGCCGAGGAAACGGACGCCGGGGGGCAAGCCGGGGGGCCTGTGCTGTGTCCCTGGCGGGGACCGCCAAAAAAGCGTCTCGCGTTCATGTACCTGGGCGACAGCCCCGCCATGGCCCCGCCCCTGCCTCGGTCCCTCGGTGCCTGTGCTTCCCGCCGGCCCCCGCCGGCCCCCGCCGGCCCCGCCCTGGGCGCCCGGGGCGGCACCGGCAGCCCGAGAGAGGCCCGCCGTGACGATAGGCGAAAACCACAAGAGCCAAACAAACGGGCTTTTCTTTTGCGGTGCCAAAAGCCTATCGGCGCGTTTACGTTGTGTCCTGCCTCGCCCCGGTCGACATTGCGTAATGCACGGTGAGGAACTTGGCGTACTCGCGACTATCATGACGTATATTTGTCTCAGCTGCCGAAGCAGCGCCGAACAATTTCTCATTTTTTGCTCAGTTCCGCCAGAGTAAACGATTTGCTTTTGCGATAAGCCGCTCGAGAGCACGACCTGCCCGAAGCGAGGCGCGAAGCCGTATGCGCTGCACTGTACCCTTGCCTGGCCCGGCCTGGCTCGCCTCGCCGTGCAGTGCAAAGGCGCTCAACTTTGTCCCTGTTCGAGCCTCGCGCCGTCCGCCGCGCCGGCCGCCGCGACCATCGCAGCCATGAGTGCTTTCGGGAAATTTCCGCGGCCAATCGAAACGACTTGCGTCTCGACTTGCGTGGCCGCGCGGCGCCTCTCTCCGTCTCTGTCGCACGGCCGGTAAGGTCAAGGCGGCGGCGTCGCGGTGGCGGCGGGTTCCGCGAAAACGCGCGTCTGCATGGGAGAGAGAGAGAGAGAAAGAGAGATAGGCGGGAGGCAGGCCGGAGTCTAGTCTGAGGAACACGTGTGAGCACGAGCACGCCGCAAGCGACCCCCCCCCTTCCTCTTTTTTCCCCTTCCGAGTCATCCGGTTGAGGCTGTCGAGGGGAGCGAAAATTCGGAACCGTGCGTGGGTGGCGGTGCGCGCGGTGGCGGATCGCGCGCCGACCTGGGGCTTCACCGCGGCACCGCGCGGCCTCCCTGGACCCTCCCGGTGGCGTAACGTAACAACACCGCCACGGGGCCCACTGGGTCACTCCGCCCGGTACGGCCCCATGCCCTACGCCTGTCCGGCGAGGCGAGCCCTTCATCCGATTTCGGCCCGGTTCCAACCGGTGCTGTTCACGACTTTCCCTCTCGGTGACCTTGTCGCGTCGAAGGACGACCCCTTCCTGCTGCCGCTCGCGCCATCTGCGTCCATGCGTCCATGTGCCCCGCATGGCCATGTGGCTTCTCGCCGCCCGACCCGGGCGACCCGTCTCTGAGAGCTCGCAGACCGCAAAGTAGTGCACTGGATTCCTATTCCGATCGAATCGTGCGCTGGCAGGGCTGGCCTTGATTGCCTTCCAAATCGGCCGGCCGATCCCGAAGGACTTTCGTCGCTCTGTCCCTCTCGCACTCGCACCTTACGGGACGCTCCATGAGTGCGTCAAAGACAGCGACGTCGGCAGCGGGCCTGCAGGCGGCGGATCACCTCATTGTAACTCCCATTTGGGCAAGACACGCCTTGGGCCGCCTTGGACCGGAAGGGTCCTTCGGGTGTTCGCGTTCAGGAGCGCGGTGTCCAAACTGGGTCGTGCGCGTATCGATGGTATCGACGCGCCTTCCTCGTCCAATCTCCATACGCCATCTCGTCCGAGTTCGGACTGGCCGAATCGAAGGCAGGGCCGAATCGGAGGGCAAGCAGCTCCCGCTTGCTCTCGTTCTTCACCGACTTGCTCGTTCCTCGGCCGCAGGATGCCGCGTTCGGACGGTGGCGTCTAGACGCCGTGGCGGTGTTGGCGGCTGCATCGTAGAAGTCGTCGTCGTCCCACTGTGTCCCGCTGCGCTGGGCCGCGGGAACAATTGAGGCGCCCCGCCCCGCCCCGCCCCGCCCCGCCCCGCGCCCATTGCAATGCCACGCCGAGCGCCAAGCCGAGGGTGGTGCTACGCTCCGCTATTTTTTAAGGTCGGCGTGCGCGTCACCGAGTGCGTGAGGCACTATGGCGGACCGCGGCGCCCGATACAGCCGCCACTCCGCCGCCACCGCGGCGCCATAGACCGCCAGTCAGGCGTAGCGCTGGCATGACGTCAACGGGGTGCTGTGTCTCCAGCGCCGCCGTGCCGCCACGCCCGGCGCCGCGGACCAGGCCCTGGGCCCTGGGGTGGTGGCGAGGCGGGCACGTCGGCGGGGGAGGAGGCAGGAGGCGCTCCGTCGTCGTCACCACAGCGTTATTTTCAAAGGGCCTTGCACTTGACTTGGCGACTCACTGCAGGCAGTCCGAACAGCACTCCGTCGCTGTCTCTCTCGCACTCCCACGGGACACCCCATGAGAGCGAGCGAGACAGCGGCAGACTGGCCGGCCGTCGTCGTCGCGGTGCTTCCATTCGGTGACGCCACGTCATTTCCGAGTCAGAGATTAGGCCGGGGGGTGGGGCTGGCTGGCTGGCTGGCTGGCGGTACGTTCTGCGGCGCACTCATGCCGCCCCGAAATGTCAGCTCGCCGCGTCCGCGTCGCGTCCGCGTGGGGCGTGATAAGCACCCGTCAAAGGTTTCGCCTCCGAGCGAGTCGGGGCGGCGGCGCGGCCCCGACAAGGACACTGTTCCATTCGTTATCCTTCGGCACACATACACACTCACCACTCACGCACACAGATACAGTAGATGTGGCCGTGACAGTGGCGAGCCCTGATTGCGTAAATGACTTTGTAATCGCTCTAAGTGCATTTCGAAGTGCGATGCTACCGGTGATAGCGCCCAAGCGAATCCGGAGAGCAGGTCCTAGCGGACGCGATAAGGGGTTCCTTCTGCGACGGCGGGAACGTCACTTCCGAGTGCTGAATGAATACACTGAGTGTACGCGGTGTGCGCCTTGTTCCTTCTAACGATGATGTCACCGGGATCGACCGCCAGGCTCCGATAGGCTGCCGAGCTCGCCGGCCAGGTCACCGACCAATGAACGCCGCTCGACGCCTCGCGGCTTCGTCGCTGTCTCTCTCGCACCGCCACGGCGCCCCGTGAGTGCGAGTCGTGCGAGTCAGCTGAACCAGTGCTGCTTGTTCCAGGCCGCCCCACCTCGGGCGACACCAACAACTACGACACGCGCAACGCCAAGAGCTTCCGCCAGCTGACGCGGGAGGCGCTGCCGCGCCTGGACAACTACCGGAACATCATGTCCATCCAGGCCGTGTACCGGCCCACCATGGAGGAGCTGCACAACGCCACGCTCACGGCCAAGGTAAAGCGGTGGCACCGGGGCGGCCCCGGCCATGACGCCGAGGGTCTTGATGCAGGCGCACAGTGGGCCAGAAGACCGGTGGTGGAGGCGGCCAAAACTCAAGACGCGTTTTGAGCCCCAGAGTCGCTAAACAGGGCTCGAATCGAACGCGGGACCCCACCAACGGATTGCTTTGCGAACGAGGAATCCGTTGGTGGGGTCAGAAGTTTGGTTCGAGTCCCATTTAGCGACCCTGGAGGTCAAAACGCTTCTGGAGTTTTGGCCGCCTCCGCCTCCGGTCTTGTGGCCCTCTGTGCGGGGGTGATGGCAGGAGGACCGATCTTCACGCCCGGCCAGAGTGCCAACGTTGCAACCCTACAATCAATCAATGAGCCGAAAAGACACTTTGGCAAACACTCTTCCCCCGTTCCAGACACCCTTTTCCAACACAACCTTTGCAGCTCCTGCCGCGCTTTCTCCGCCGATGGCGCGCGTCCAGCCGCGTTTTGGCGGCCGTCATCGCACGTCGCCGAAGTCATGAAGTCTGGTATGGGTGTCTCGGTGCGGCGAGGAGCGGCGAGGTGCCGTTGTTGTGCCGTTTCGCGGCGCAATGCGCAACGCCCCCGCAGTATTTGGCACCGGTGCCATGATTGTGTGTGGAAAGGGGGGGGGGCGAGGCCGCTGCGCGCGGACGCGGACGTCGCACGCCAAGGGCCCGGCGCTCCGCTAGTTACTCGGGTACTCGGTTTCTGCTGAGCGAGCCTGCATTGTATCCGAATACCTCCGCAGACTGCAGACACTGCGCCGCAATGTTTGCCATTTTCGCAGTGGCATGGATGCATGGATGCGCAGTGCAACCGGTTCGCAGTCGGTTCCAACCGGGGCGGCGCCGGGGCCGCTGTGCCCCGCGTGCGTCGGCCAGTCGGACGTAACGAGCACGCGGCCAGCGGTCTCTGTCTCTCTCGCACCCATGGGGCGTTGCGCAGGGGTGCGAGAGAGACGACGCGCGCGGGCGTTGTCGCCGTCACGCCCCCCGTTGTCCACTACACTGCGTTGTACTGCGTGTTCCCAGTGGTGCGGGGTGACGAAAGGGTGACGGCTCCGCCCTGCCCGCCCTGCCCTCGGCGGAACCAAGCCGATCGCTGAATGCCAGGAAACGGCGGGAGTCGGCAGCCCGACGGCGCGGCCTCGGCTCTCACATCCACATCCACGCAAATTACTAATTTCCAGGACGGCCCCGATGGCGGGTCGAAGCCGTCGAGGGCGTGCGGGCGCAGTGCAGCGGACGGAGTCCGAACGTCGCTCTGTCTCTCTTGCACCCCTCCGGGTCGCTCCGTGAGTGCGAGAGAGACAGAGCGCCGATCGGAATCGGACCTAGGGCGGGGCGGCGACACGCGTCACGGCCGATTGCATTCGGCGCTATAAAAAGGGGGGGGGGCGTGTCGAACTGCGCAACTGCTCGATGAGGCGCGGCGCTTGATGAACTTGCCTCCAGCGCTCCAGCAGCCCGTTGGCCCCAGCCTCCAGGCCGCCAGCCTCCAGGCCCCAGCCTCCAGCCTCCAGGTGATGAGGCCGGCCGCTGAGTCAGCCTCCGAGGGCCAAGGCAGCCCAGGCTGCTGGGCCAGTCGGGGGCGACGGCCGCGGCCGGCAGCAGCAGATTGATTCCGAACGGCGTCTTGTCGCTCCGTCTCTCTCGCATCCCGTGCGGGACGCCCTGCGAGTGCGAGAGAGACGGAGCGAGTGTTCGGAATGAGCCGCGGGAGCTAGCCGCGGGCGTGCCGGCATGTGCTCCTCCTCACCTGAGGACGTGCGCCGGACGTGCGCGATGTTCGGTGTCCGGCGAGCGGTGTTCGGCGTTCGCTCTCGCTGGCGACTCCGCGAACATTCCGGACGGATATATACGTCGCCACTGCGAGATGTTTTCGCCCGGCAGATCCTCGGTGGTCCGGGGTGCAGGCTTCAAACCTGTAGCTGACTAGCGTCAGTGTGGTTCGATTCCACCTACTGGGCGGGTCCATCAATAATTTTGGAAGCTGACTTTCGACACGCTAAATTCTTTGGGGGAGGCCGCTCTTTTTCTCATTGTTGCATACGTTGGTCATGTCCATGCCCGCAGTCGAGCCGTAGTGCTCCACGCTCCATGCAGCGTGAGAGAGACACACAGGCAGAGAGACACGCGTAGTCGCCACGTCGCCACTCGTTCTGCTCAGCGTTCGCAGAAAGCCACGGCAGCGTCATCAACAACTACGGCAAAAAGAAGAGCTGCCAGTCCAAGTCCCTGCCTGGACTCATTTCCTACACTGGCACCGCCAACGCCGCCTTGACGTTGACGGGAATCGGGTTTCAGGGAAATGGACTTTCTTCGCCCGTGAAACAGTCGCCGTTTCTTTGTTGATTGTTTTTTCGTTTTTTCGCGACCGCCTTGTTTTCTCACGGACACCACCCTGGCGGCCCAGGGCCGAGGCGGTCCAAGGCCGGGGCGCCGGGGCTCAAGCTGGAACGGCGTTGCGGGTGGCCTGTGGCCTGCACAGTGGCTGACTGCGAGGAGCCCCATTTCCTTTTGGCTTTTTGCACGCCGCTCTAGGCACTCTAGGCCTTCGCCTCTGCTCTCACTCATAGACACTCTTTTCGGGCCGGGTGCTCATCTGTCAGCCAGTGTGGGCAGGTCAGTATGAAGGCGGTCTCACAATCAGCCAAATAAGGGGGGCACCCAGGGGGCCGACAGGGGGCCGTCCGGAGAGCTGCCGCAGCATGCTGGTCTGGCCTGGTGTTCGTGACCGCCGTGAACGTGCAGCCCCCCTCCCCCTCCCCCACCCCCGAGAGGGCGTCGTCCACGCACTCGCTGTCCATTAGGGCGAATGACACTCCCTGAGTAACGAGCCCCTCGCCAAACTGCGACTTGTGGCGCCACAGTGTCAGACAGTGTCACGCCGGCCTTGACCTTGTTGGTGTTGAGCCGGAGCCCTACGCGACCCCCGTGCTGCCGGGCCGTGCCGTGCCGTGCCGCGCCTCACGCTGCAGCTGATCAAATTAGTCGCGCAATTGCGATCGCGGCCCTATTTGCGGAGGCGCTGCTTGTCAACCGCGGCGTCAGCCTCACGCCACAATAAGCAGTGTCGTGCCCGTAGTCCCGCGGCGTGGTGGCCGCGGCCCCGATGGCTTTGGGACGGCGCCTCGCCTAGCGGGCCTCGCCCTGCCCTTCGCGCCCTGAGCCCTTTGGCGTGCTGCCTGGAGGGCCTGGAAGGCAAGGCACCGACTGCCGAGCTTTTCGCAGCCCATTTGCAGAGTTTGTTTTGAACGGGGCAATCCGCAGAGCGGCCGGCGGGGAGGGGGGAGGGGAGGGGCGGTGCAACAAGGAGGTTAATGAGGTTAATTCGTGCCGCGGTGACCGAGAGGGGGCAGCGCCGGCAGCGCCAGGCTCGAAAGAAGACTCTGCGTGGGCGGAGAGTATGTCGCTGGTGTCTGTGTCACTCACAGACACTCGCACACACGCGCGTGCGGCGGCGTGCGGCGCCCACGCCAGGGCCTCGGCGTTGCGTGGGAGTGCTAGGGGCGCCGCCGTCGTCCCTGCGGTCCCTGCCCGCCGAGACGGCCGCGACGGCCGAGACACGGAGGCGCGCGCTGCCGACGTGCCGACGTGCCGACGACAGCACAGCGCCGGCACGACGGTATGCAGACTTGCCGACTATCAGTGTGTTTGGTAAACATAAACGGAGTGAAATACAAGCGGTAAACGGTCGCCCGGGAAGGTCCATCGGGTTTCATCCGGTGGGAGCGGGACAGATCCGCGGCCCGCCCTCCGCCCCTCGCGGCCCCGCCCCGCCCCGCCCCGCCCCCTGTCCCGGCGGGGCGCCCGGCGCGGGGCGCCTGCTCGTTTAGCTAATTCAAGTCCATTGGCTGTACCTCCGTTGCACCGCGCGGATCTCGCGTGAGTGCCTTTGACGTGACGCGGACGTGACGAGGACGTGACGTGAACGTGGGCGCGTCCTCAGGGCGGTTGCTGCGTCCGCCAACGAGTTCCTGTGGCACCCCGACGGGACCGGGGACGCCCCATGAGTGCGAGAGACGGAGCGAAGGCACTGCAGGCCTGCCACTCCGGGAATGCCTCGCACTCTGCGGTGTCCGGTGCATTGCGTGCGCTCCGCGAGCCTCCCCGCCGTCCTGCAGACCTGCCGGGCCTGCTGCAGGGCCTGGTCGACGACCCGAGCAACAATTAAGCCCGGGGCGTTGGCGCCCGGCGAGGCCAACTAGAGGACGCGCCAGGGTTCGAGTCCGGGTGGCGGCGATGGCGCGCCGCGTCATAGTCCACCTGTCCGAAACCCGGCGCACCTCTAGGCGCACCTGCCGCGCGTTTCGGCGCGCTAGGCTGTGTCAACTCGCTCCCCGTCGGTGGGCTAGTCAGTGGCTATCGCCGCACCAAAGCCAGGGCCCCGACCTAGTCACGACTAGCGACTCTCGCGGCGTGCCCGTCTAGGCCGTAAATAGCGGCTGCGTGTACACTGTACACTGTGGCTTGCGATGCGGCGTGCGGTGGACGACGACGACGACGCGGATCGACCCGTAAATCAGCGACTGGACGACTGTCTTATTCACGGCAGCGTTCCGTGAAACATTCACGCTCGGCGTCGCGGCGTGTGACACGCCACTGGCGGCCAATGGACTGGGTGCGTCGCGGTGCGTCGCCACTGGCATGGCATGGCGTCGCATTGGTGGCCAGTGGGTGCGTCCGAGTCGAAACTCGAAATCGAACACCTGCCGCGTCCGGCCACGCTGCCACGCTCCGCTGCAGATCCTGCCATCCGCAGCATAGGCAACCCATCCGGCTGCGGCGCTCTGCGCGAGAGACGCGACGCAAGGCGCGGCGGCCGGGCCGTTGGGTTGCCTGCCTGGCGCGGCGCTCCGGCGGCCGGGCCGGGCGGTTCGACTAGGAAGGAGGTTTGGCTTGCCAGGCCGCGAGCACGACGGTGACGGTGACGGCGTTCCGACGGAGTCTAGGAGACGATCCTTACTTCCGCTCCCACCTCAGTCGCCGGCAGATGGGTGGCGTCGCGTGCAAGCTGCAGCGTAACAGCGACACGCAATGGCGGCAATAACGGCAATGCTCGCCGAGGAAAACGCGCATTTTTGTCAAATTAAAAGAGCGAAAGTCGCAAACCGCAGGCAAGCCGCGTCGCTGCGATGCGTCGGGCGTGGCGGGCGTGGCGGTGCGGTGATGCGACGTCGCGACGCCATGCGTCGTGCAGAGGAGGGCGGCCCCCTCCCTCTCTGTTGTCTTGGGCCAATATTCGAAGTGTCTCCATGCCGGCTGGGGGGTCGCAGGAAGTCATCTTCCGTAGGATGAGGGGCAGGGCGTCAAGCGCGTCTAGGCTCAAGCCGGCAGGGATATAAAAGCGATGCGGTGCGCCTGAGGCGCCAGTCGTACTCCACGTCCACGTCGCGCAGCACAAAGATGAGCAACTGGCTGGTGGTGCTGCTCCTGGTGAGTGCCGACGACGCCGACCTCTTGGAGGCCTTGCGATACCTGCTGCGCTGAGACGGTCCTTTGCCTCAGCAGATCGCAGTGGCCCAGGCGACGCCCTGGTTCCCGGGGAATGCCCTGCAGGGCTCGTACCACCAGCTGCAGGCGCCACCACCGCCCCTAGCCGCGCCGCCAACCGCGCCGGCCACCGGCTTGGCCAGCATGTGCAGCTCCACGTTGCAGCAGCCGCCGCGGCCGGCGCCCTGGCTGCAGGCCGTCCCCAGCTACCCGCCTACGGCGCCGGCCTCCGGGATGTTCAACGTGATCCCCACGCCAGGCCCGCCAGCGCGCGGCACCCGCATGGCCGCCGAACCCGGCGTCGCCTACATGCTGGGCATCTACATGCAGCCCATGCGGCTGCCCGCGCACGTCCCAGTGCACGGCCATGCTGGCCGCGGAGCCTTGCCCATGGAGATCCCCAAGGCTGTGGAGCCCGTCCACGACGTGCTGGCGGTGGAGGCGCGCCGAGACAGGGAGCTCGGCGAGGAGGGGCTGTCCTTGCTGGACGACACGCTACTGCAGCAGCTGGGGGACATCCTGACGCAGTACGAGGAGGGCGACGGTGACGACGATGACGAGGACCCGCAGCCGGCACTTGTCTCCGTCTCTGCCCCCGCGCAAGACCGACGCTCGGCGCCACCGGCACCGCCACCGGGGCCACCGCGACGCAGCCGCCTGGTCGTGGAGGACGTGCGGCCCGCGTGGCCCAGCGTGCACCTGGGGGAGTTGGTGCTGACGGAGGAGGCAGCCTTCGCACCGCCCTCGGCCCCGGCTTCGGCTTCGGCCGCGGTCCCCGCAGCGCTGCCGCTGCCACTGCCGCACGCCGCCCTGGCGCCCCCCGCGTCCGTGTCTCGGCCGCAGCGGACTTCCCTCTCACCCTCCGTCCCGTACTCACGCAGTCGCCGCTTCCTCGCCTGACTGTGAGACTGACTGAAACTAGAGTATTTCGTATTTTGCAATAAACTGTCGAAAGGAGTGTGTAACAGTTTTCTTTTCCGGTGAAAGTCCCACACTAATACAGATGTTTGCCTCTCATGGTAACTTTGCCATTATTTTCTTTAAAACACTTGCACATGAACAGAAAGCCTTTCTCTTAACATTTCTTTCATTACTCAGTCGAGTCCCAATCAATTAAATAAGCACTAATGAAAGGATGCAGAAAACATGGCTTGATTTTCTCAGAAACATCTAGAAAAAAAAACTAGAGAAAAAAATTATTGGTTCCATCTTATTTAATCCATGGTGCTTCATAGACATTTTCCCTTTGTTTGATTTCAGTCTGCTGGTGCTACTTTGAAAGCAAACGGACCAAATGGGCTGATTGATGGAGGCACGGTAAAATTTGGATGGATAGTTGGTGTCCTCATAAGATGTCTCCTAAATATTTGGGGAGTCATGCTTTTCCTTCGACTCACATGGGTTGTTGGAGAGGCAGGAATTGGTGAGTTAAAATAAGAGCAGCAAATGCAATCTATTTGTCTCTTTATTTTTATTTTTTTAGATGAGAGCTTACTAAAAATAATACTCATGTCTTGGTTTTGTTTTGACAGGCCAAGGAGTCCTTTTAATCATCTCTACCACAATTGTCACTACTATCACTGCTCTGTCAATGTCAGCCATCAGTACCAATGGCGAAATCAAAGGCGGTAATGTTGATCCCCTTTTCTTACATTCTTGCCCCTACTTTGATGCATGTGGTTTCATGGTGGGTGAAATTTCTTACAGGTGGTACCTACTACATGATTTCACGATCACTAGGCCCTGAATTTGGTGGGTCCATTGGATTGATATTTTCTCTGGCCAATGCTGTGGCTTGTGCTATGTACGTTGTCGGCTTCTGTGAATCTTTAAGAGACTTGCTGCATTCATTTGATGTACAAATTGTTGATGGTGGCACTCAGGATGTGAGAATAGTTGGTTCTATCACAATGCTGTTACTGACAGGTATTGTTGTGATTGGCATGGAATGGGAAGCTAAGGTTTGTAACTTTCTCAAAGCTCATTTCATTCCATCTTGCTATACTTTAATGATCTACATGTGTATTCATTTTTAATTTTTACAGGCTCAATTTGTATTGTTAATAATTTTGTTGGTTGCTATTGGTGATTTTTTTATTGGAGCACTTATTGGGCCTATTTCTGATGAAGACAAAGCTCGTGGTTTCACTGGATTTTCTGGTACGTTCGTTTAGTCTGTTCCAAAATAATTTGTGTTTATGATAGCCCCTTTAAAATTAATTTTGGACTCTCATTTTATTTCAGTTGATACAATATCATCAAATTTCCTCTCTGATTATCGTATTCAGAAAGGAGAGCAGCACAACTTCTTTTCAGTTTTTGCCATTTTCTTCCCTGCCGCTACGGGGATTCTAGCTGGAGCTAATATATCAGGAGACTTGAAGGTAAGCTACATATGATAATGATTATTATCTAAATGTGAAAAGAGACTGAATAATTCTTTTAGCCTGGTTTCTGCTTTGTTTGACAGGATCCTCAGGGTGCCATCCCCAAAGGAACACTTCTTTCAATTGTCCTCACTTCTCTCTCATACATTCTAATAGCAATTGTTGCTGGGGCTGTTGTTTTAAGGGATGCCAGTGGAGATGTTTCTGAACTTCTCAACGGAACTTTTGCAAATTGTGCAAACCGCACGTGCATGTATGGCCTTCAGAACAATTTCCAGGTTGGTTTGATTGTGTGTTAACACACCATTGATGTCTAAGAGGATAAAATATGCATAAAATAAAGTCAAAAACTATTACTTAAAGGTTGTGGAGATGGTATCAGCATTTGGGCCACTCATTTATGCTGGCTGCTTTGCTGCAACTCTGTCATCAGCACTTGCCAGCTTGGTGTCTGCCCCAAAAGTCTTCCAGGCTCTTTGCAAAGACAGGTTGTACCCATACATTTTCTGGTTTTCCAAAGGCTTTGGTAAAAATAACGAGCCTGTGCGTGGATATGTCCTCACTTTTATCATTGCCATTGTATTCATTCTCATCGGTAAGATAAAATGGACTTGAGCTCATACTCAAAATACATACTAAAGCGATCATTAATCTAATTTTTAATCTTTTTATTTAGGTGAACTTGACGCTATTGCTCCTCTTATATCAAACTTTTTCCTTGCTGCATATGCCTTGATTAACTTCAGTACATTCCATGCATCTCTTGCAAAGCCTGTTGGTTGGCGTCCAACATTCAAGGTAAAACATTTTCTTTCTACCATCAAGAAAAAGAAACAAAAAACGGTAAGAAACCTCCATAATGATGCCCCCATTTTCTTTTCCAGTTCTACAACATGTGGCTGTCACTTCTTGGGGCTGTGCTTTGTGTGTCTGTTATGTTTTTGATTAGCTGGTCTACTGCTCTGATTACTTTAGGCATTGTTTTGGCACTCTACTTAATTGTGTCACATAGAAAACCTGGTGAGTGTGAAGTGATAGTGGGCACATGGATTTTTACATTTTATTAAGCAAGCATCACCCTGAAAAAAATTCAAATTTGTTTTCAGATGTGAACTGGGGCTCTACAACACAAGCACAGACTTACAAAAATGCATTGAACTCAGTTCAACAATTGAACTATGTCGAAGATCATGTAAAAAATTACCGTCCTCAGATTCTTATTCTCAGTGGCATGCCCAACTACCGCCCACCTCTTATTGACTTTGCTTTCCTCATGACAAAGAATCTTTCACTCCTTATTTGTGGCCATATTGTAAAGGTATACATTTTATTTTTTTAATTTAACAGAAAGATGTCAACATTTTTCTTTCTTGACTCACAGTGAAATCAATGTTTCAGAGCTCAGTACCTCAGCGAGTTCGCAATGCTTTAACATTTAAAGCTCACAATTGGCTTAGGGCTCACAAAATTAGAGCTTTTTATTCGCATATTGATGAATCTTCCTTTGAAGAAGGAGCCAGAGCCTTAATCCAAGCATCTGGTGTTGGAAAACTACGGCCAACATCCTCCTCATGGGCTTTAAAAGTGATTGGTCCACTTGTGAATCAGAGGAACTTTCCATGTACTTCAACACAATGCAGTCAGTGTGAAACTCTTCAACCGCCTATATTTTGTGTTTTAGTAACTGAAAAATTTCACTAATGTAAAATCATTTTTTTAGCAAAGCGCTGGACTTACACATGGCTGTGGCTGTTTTAAGAGTAGAGGGGGGCTTGGACTATTCTAAAATCTTATCTGAGACAGAAGAGCCTCGTCAGAATGGAAACATACCTCAAGTATCATCAGTTGTAGGAATGTCTGCACCAGGAAGCTGTAACAGGACTCGACAAAACTCACAAGAGTCTCTCTCCATTCCACATAATCAATCGTTTTCTCAACTGTCCACTGGTAAGGCCCATTCATTTCCTTCCAACTATGTTTGCATCACTTGAAACAGAATAGTGAATTTTTAAAATTTGCCACAACAAGGTCTGTTGATAGTGATTTGGTTTCCTTGATTTTTTAAATGTGCAGGTCTTTATTGGGCTCTTGGTGTTGGTGAGAAGCTCTCAAAATGAGGGTTTTTATAAAAATGTTGTGTTTTCCAGCATGACGAATTTGTAGCTTTCACCCTTAGGATTATTATTTCCTATACTTTTCCAACCAAACTATTTTTTGAATAGCTTTATCACATGTGTGTGTTGCTTTCTTTCTAGTTTTCTTTTAAACACATAACTTTGTTTTTCGTTTTCATGATAAGATATGTAATTTAATTTTCTAGGTTTGTAATTGATTTGGTTATGCGGCTGCACGCTTCATTTTTTAAAAAAATGGTTATTATTGTGATTTTCCTTTATGGATGTGGATGTTGCATCTTTGCTTTCATTTTACCCCCATTATTGCCTCTACAATCTGGTACATAGTTTTCCCTATAGTAACTTTGATTTATCTAATTTCAGCAAGCAGTGTCAGTGATTTGTCATCTCCCCCAACACCCAACATGAACAAATCTCGAGTAAGTGGCAGTCCAAATGCCGATGATACTGATGGAACTCCTGAACATGATGAAAAACTCTCTAAAAAGGAGAAAAAGAAGCGTGATTCAAATGCTGATCTTTACAAGTATTTACCACCTTATAATTTATTTTCTTCCTTAATTAATGCTAGACATGAAATAAATTTCTAACAAAATTGGGCATATTTCTAGGGGAGCTGGTGATGTTGATCTGCCCAAAGACGTTTTGAATAGTTTAACAAGATTTCAGCGCAAGCAGAAGAAAGGAACAATTGATGTGTGGTGGTTATATGATGATGGAGGTGAAGTGAACATTTCTTTTTATCATTCACTATTTTTTTCATCTTTGCATTCTTATTAAACTTATCTCTTTTATAAATCCAATTAGGTCTTACACTCCTCTTGCCTTATATTATCACAACAAGAGGAAACTGGTCTGACTGCAAGCTGAGAGTCTTTACTTTGGCTAATAAATCTGCTGAGCTAGAGTATGAACAAAGGAGGTAATGCATTTATCCCTTCAGTGCACTATATCATTTCTCTGTCAGTATTTTGATTTTCCAATACCTTTAACAGCATGGCGAGTTTGTTAGCTAAGTTCCGAATTGACTACTCGGCTCTTAAGCTCATTCCTGACATCACTAAGAAACCAAAAGATTCAACAGTGTCATTCTTTGATGACTTGATTTCTCCATTTAAGATTCCAGAGTCTGAAGACGACAATGAGAGTAAATGTAAGTTGATCAAACTATTCTTGCAGCAATGAAACCCTAGTGAGACACGTGCATATGTTCAAACTAACCAATTTACTTTATATCTGCAGTAGGTATTACTGAGGCAGATCTCCTTGCTATGAAAGATAAGACAAACAGACATCTACGATTGCGTGAACTTTTACAAGAGCATTCAAGTGAAGCAAATCTGGTTGTGATGTAAGGATACTTGCAGAATAATGTTTTTAAATTAAGTATTTCATAATTTCCTAATGCTTGTTGAGTTTCTTTTCTTGCAGGACCCTCCCAATGCCCAGGAAAAATGTGGTGTCAGCATCGCTTTACATGGCATGGCTAGAAGTTCTGACCAAAGACATGCCCCCATTCCTGTTAGTGCGTGGAAATCAGACATCCGTTCTCACTTTTTATTCTTGATCAAAATAAGATTGATGTCATCTTGAATGTTTCCGTCCAGATATGCCCAATATTTGTTGGAAAGTTGTAGTTTGTGACAACATGGGTTTGTTTTACCTGTAAAGGATAGTTAGACTTTGTGAAAGGAATTCTATCAGTTGTGATGCTTGGGAAATACCACTGTTATAAATTGTAAGCACAATGCTATTCAAAAAATTTTGATAACGGTTAAAAATGTTTTGAAGTCAAGAAACTGTGTAGACGTTTCAGGTAGGCCCTGGTGTAATATTGAATGACCATCAGACAGGGTGTATGGGACCAAATTTATGTTGATTAGCTTGTAATTAATGAACATATAGCAAAAATAGAATGCTAGGAGATATTGATAATAATTAAGTGTCCTGTTACTTTGTTAATTTTTCCTTGAGTGGGAAGTATTTTTGCAGTATTTGTAAGTTGATATATCATAGGCAAGAAGCAGAATAAACAGTTTAAAGCAAAAATATTGTATTGCAAATTCAAATCCTCTCATGAAGAACTAAAGATAGAAACTAGATCTGGAAACGTATACAAAATTAAAATTAGCTTAGTAATTGTGCGTCAAGTTACAATCTTTCCAAGTAAAAGACTAGCCTTATTATATCACAAAAGAGCCACTCTTTCTCCTTAAACTGGCTTATATTTAACATTTTCCAAATAGTCTTATGGTTGAGCTGCTTGATTTCAACATAAAAATTTGATTGAAAATGTGGCTTCTCAGAAACCACATTATCTGGAGATAATCACACAGAACGTTTTCACTGACAGCAAATCAAGCACATAAAAAAATAGGCAAATGTGCTATGTTAAAGAAATGGACCACTGTAACAAGCTGGAGAATTGGGGGCACATAAGACTGATCAAAATTCAGTGCTTATAGAAAATAAAACAAAGGGACGTAAACATGTAAAAATAAAATGGGATGTTACTCCATCATACGAAGAAAACCCCAGGGGGGTTTCTGACCCAACAACGCAGGTTCAGAATTAATACTACACAAAAGCACAAAATAACCATAAATTATTTTACAAAATAAAAAATAAGCAACCCTCCTGAATCCATGGAGGAGTATGACATCTCACTCCCAGAATATTGACAGAAACTTGAAATCAAAATCCATTTTATTAAAGGTGACTATTTTGATTTAAATTTAACTACACATAGAGGTGATGAGTGGCAAAATCAGGCTCTGAGCTTGGCTAGCTGGGCCTCAATTTCATCATCAGTGGGCAGCTTGGACTTGGATGATACCCCAATGGTATCATGGGTGGCAGGAGCTCTGGCCATTTTCCCAGAAATCTCAATGCCTATCTCATCTAGTACCTGCTGCACAACCTGATCAGTTTCCTCCTCCTCATCGGATCCAGCCATGATGTCATCTAAGGTGTCGTTAATCATTTCATCAGTCATACTCATCTTCATTGAGGCCTCACCAAAGGCTCGCATGTCAGCAGCAATTTTTTCTGGCTTCATGATGTTATTAATAGTGGACATTGTCTTTGCTGTGGTACCCATTGCATCTGCTAACTTGACATTTGCACCCATAGCCTTATTATGGTATCCAACACTTTGAATTTTACCACTGGCAGCTAAGGTGCGGCTTTTCTGTTTCCTTAAATTTACTAACTGTTTAGCAAGGATAGCACATCCATCCCTGTTACCTTCTTTCGCCATCTTCTTAATTTCCTGTTCCAGTTTTTTCTCTTCCATTTCCAAATGTCTTCTCTCTCGGTCCATGTCTCGATTTGCTTTCCGCAGAGAACGGTCATTCTCCCTTTGCTGCTCTTTCAAAGTTGGCTTGGAACCAAAAAGCCAATCCATTGTCTGCCAAAATAAAATAAAAACGGAGATGAGGGAAACCTAAAAATGAGTCATGCATGTCAGTAGGGGGACAACTGCAAGATTAACCTAAAGGGGTCTTTTGCAGCAACTGTTGTGTAATATATCATAAGTTAACTGTCAGCCCTCACATCAAAATCAAATAATTTCACTATTTAAGAGAAGTATTCCTACCGGAGTACGTCACCCGAAGGCAATGACTTCAAGGCAGGTTTCTTACAGCTGCAAAAATGACAGAAACTGAATCACACAAAACACAGCCGAGGTCGCAGTCGCACCGTCAGAAGTCTCAAGTCCCCTCCCCCTCCCCCTCCGCTCCCCTGGCCTCTCCCGCCCCCGCCCCCTTTCCCTTCCCTTCTCCCGCTGCTGAAGCTCAGTTGGCACTACACAGCGTACACCGGACTTCCAAGATACTACGATCGGCGACATTTGATTGATTTCACTGATTTTGCTGAGTGCAAATGTTCGAATGAGGACAGTCCCCTGCATTCGCCGATGTCTTTGTTTCCCGGGTTTTCCCCGTAGCGAGACCCTTTCGAGTTCAGCGCCGGGGAGTCAGCTTGGAGCAGACAACGAGCAAATATACCTGATGTAAACATCTTCTTAATCAAGGGTTTTGGCATGTGCCCTTGGGTAAAACTTACGATACGATCAATTTGGATTGAAATCAAAAGGTCCATGTGAAAATCAATGGATAATAGTACTTTTCCGGAAGCTGAAGAGTGGCATTTTGACGTCGGCAGTTGTCAGCTCTAGCGTGAGTTTCCCGCCTGGTGGTGCCTTTCGCCTTACGAAAGAAAAGAGATGTGCCACTTACAACAAATGCCTGAATTTTGAGAAAAAGAAGCACGGTTTAAATTCACTGTGCATTACATATTTCTTAGTCATACTATCCGGTAAGCGCGCAATGTCCATCTTCTTTTGAAAATTTGTAATTTGTTTATGTTTTTTACTTTCACACAAATTTCTGCTCGAACCATCACAACATTGAGGGTTAAGGCCGGCCTCTAACAAAGACAATGAGCGATTTCTGAAAGTTCCTTCATGTTTGCATTATTTTTAACGTTGCGGTCTTTGTGTAGCATTTCGGATTACGACTTCTCATTTCATATCAAATGTACTATGATATATGTACTTTATGAAGGTGGTTGATATTTCTAAATGATACCCCTCTCCTACCCAGAAGTTTTATAATACTCTTTCAATATTTTTCAACCATTTGTTTCTGTGTTCACTTAACAACACATGCTATAGTTTTTCCCTTTTATTGTTACTGTTCTACAGTAATATGTTATGAAACACCAATTTAATTAGCACATGTTAAGTGTGTGAAAGTTTACTTTTGCATTACAGTTTAAAGGTTAATATTAAATTTGTTTACAGGTAAATACTCTTTTCATTATGGATTCAGAATCACCACCACGTAAAAAATTGAAACAAGGTGAGTGTTCTTGTAAATCATTTTGTTATAATACTGGATCCAAATCTATTTCATCTATTTGGTTGTTTATGTTTTTCTGGCAGCTCGCCTTCCATTTCAAATTTTGAGTCACAAAGACAGCAGTGCAGACACCAAGTCACCGACCCCCAGTAGAAAACGCCCTCTCAGTGAAGATTCCCAAGAAGAAGAAGTTGTAGCTGTGAAGGTGGGAAAGAAATCTGAGGATACCAAAGAAAATGAAACAGTGGTCACACCGCCCACTGAAGTTGACTTAGAAAACAAAGATCATGACCTGCAGAATGGTACTAAATCCACAGAAGTTAATACAGTAATTCCAGAGTCTCCAGTGAAGGAGTCAATTGATTCTACCAATGCTCAAACCAAGCCTGAGACCAAGGAAACCAAATCAGAGAAAAAGTCTGAGCTGCCAAGTTTTCTTATGAACATGAAAGCTAATTTGGCAGATTTGCTTGAAAAGAAGGTTTTAGATTTCAATGCTGATGTGGGATCCTGTGATTGTGGCTGTGAAGAAGAAGATTCTGCTGGTAGTGCTTTAGAAGAATACTATGAACATTGCAATAAGAAGAAAGCAACTCCTAAATCATCTGAAAAGAAGTCAAGAAGGAAATCTGGGCACAAGTCGGACTCTAAACAATCCAGCCCATCGAAGCAGCCTAAACAGCAATCCCCGAGGGGTAAAAAGAAGGCCTCAAATTCTCCAAAGTCTGCGGAGCCTCTCTCTAAAACTGTAACACCTGAGAAGACTGCAGATGATGTGCCTGTTTCTGAATCCAAACTTTCTCCCTTAAATTCAACTGCTGAGAAAAGCAGTATTCTTTCCAAAAAAGCTGCAGATATGTTTGCCAAGTGGAGGAAACCTTCCAATGACATCTCTCAGAAGAGTGAAAATGCCGCAGAGGATTCAAAAAATATAAATGGATCATCTGATTTAAAATCTTCTGGTTTCAGTGTGGTACATGCTGAGGAGGTGAAAGCAGAGGTGGTAAAAGATGCGGGGGCAAAAAGCGGTCCTTCATCCATTGGGCATTCACCAAAAAAATTTAAACTTTCCAATGCCAGTGATAACGTGCAGGAAAAAACTGAACTCCAAGAAAGTGTTAAACCGCAACCGAAGTCAGAGAACGATGTAGTGGAGCTCAGTGACAGTAGCTTTGAGGAGAAGACGCCTCTGAAAGGGAAAAAACCAGAATCCAATAGTTCCTTTACAGGTATTCTGAAGAAGTCAGATGAAGCAGGATGTTTGGATAATTCAATTGTTGTTGATGAAGACAAGACATTAACCCTCACCCCAACAGGTCTAAGTAAAACTCCGCAGCGGCGTTTAACTCCTAAACAGATTGAGCGGCAGAAGGAAGTTGCCAGAAAGCAAGAAGAAAAGGAAAAACAAAGACTTGAACGTGAAAACGAAAAGAAAAGATTGAAACTAGAAAAAGAAGAGCTGAAGAAAAAGGAAAAAGAAGAGAAAGAGGAACAACGGCGGAGAGAAAAGGAAGAGAAAGAGAAGAAGAAACAAGCTGAGCAGGAGCTGAAGATAGAGGAGAAGAAAAAGAAAGAGCTTCAGAAGGCAGAAGAAAAACGCAAAAAAGATGAAGATAAAAAAAAGGCAGAAGAAGAGGAAGAGCGTAAGAAAGCCAAGGCGTCAGCTTTATTCACAAGTTTTTTTGTTCCTAAGTCCACCAAACCAGAGCGTGAAGATCCTCCGCCACCAACTGAAACAAAGCAGAACTTCATGCCCTTTGAAGTTAAAGCAGATATGCGAGTGGCTCCACCAGTGAGGCATACACTCTCAAGTCCTGAAAAGCAATGCTTAGATGAAGTAGTCAAACAGGAACTGCCTAAATCAAAAGATTGTCTCTACTTAGCCTCTTTAAAATCTGGTGAATCAGTTCCTAAAACAGGCTCTAAAACTTGGCCTCTTGATGATAACAAAGAGGATGACGACATTTCTATTATAGAATCTGATGATGCTGGTGTATTAGTATCAGATATTAAAAAGGTTGAGAAAATGAGGGCTAAGTATTTGTTGTTCCATGAAAATCATCGTCCAGCTTATCGTGGAACATGGAGAAAAAAGAGCCTCCTTGTTACTGGGAGACATCCATTCGGTCAAGACAAGGTATTGTTATTTTTTCTTCTAAGATTTCAGATTATGATGAATTTTCAGTACCTCACATAATAATGTTTTTCCCTTGCACACAGATTTTTGATTATGAAGTGGATAGTGCAGATGAATGGGAAGAAGAGGAGCCAGGAGAATCTTTGCATGGGTCTGATGATGAAAAGGACAAAGAATCTGAGGATGAATACGAAGTTGACAATGGTATTTTCGTACCTCATGGCTACTTAAGTGACGACGAAGGGGATGCTGAGGAAAATGAAGAAACATTTGTAAGACTCCCATTGGTTTTTCTTTTTTTCTTAACTTATAAAAAAGTTTCTTCTACACTGCTTGAAAAATGAACTTGCATGTGGACCCAACTAAATTAAATTTTTATCTTTGTTTCTTTTAGAATCCTGAAACTCAGAAGGCGAAACTCAAGTTGCTTGGTGAAGAATTTGAAGCTCAAATGAAGAGTAAAACAAGCACATTAAAACCAATTATAATAGTACTGACTGCTGCATTACAAGCCTCATCTTGTAAGTATATTTTTATTTCTGATCATCCCACTGTTTTCTAGAACTCTTGATAAATTTTAAGTATCATTCTTTTGAATTTCTTGCTTTTTGTAGGCTCTGCGAGGTATCAAAAGCTCCTTGAACGGCGTGCTGTGTGGCAGGAGGATGAAGGACCCATTGCATTGACCCAGTTTAAAAGCGACAATGACAATGGAGAGGGTCTGACACTAAATGCTGAATCAAACTGTGTCACATTTAGCTCTGGGCCAGGTGCCAAGAAAAAAATTATTGCAGAAGAAGGTAAATATTATAAATAGTACATGTTCTATCTTATTTTTGAGTCATCTATGTGCACGTATTGACTACTGTATTGTTTCTTACAGCTATTCCTGCACTTATAACACTTGTGCATGGTAATCAGAATAAGAGAGTATTCCTGACTAATGAGTTCTCAGCATTTCTTGGTAAATCCCAATCTGGGCAAGTGGAAAATATTGATGAAAACCCTGCCTTGTCTGAAAGTGCAGAACCTCAAAGACCTTCAACTCCATCCACATCATGCCCCAATCCTCTATTGCAAAAGTGGCCGGGTCTCCCTCCTGCCTCTAGAATCTCCATTTCAAATAAAATCAAGGAGATAGGACTGTGGGGTCCTTGCCCCGAAGAAGGCCCTTTCTATGGGCGTCAATGCTGGTAAATTGATTACAGCATGTGAATATTTTTTTTCACAGATTGCTGTTTTCCTTTGTACTGTATTTAATTCATACTTTTGTGCAGGTATGTGAAAGAAGAGATAAGGACAAAATATGGATTGACCGATCTAAAATTACCAAATACATTGTGGCATTATACTTTAAAACCCAAAGTATTAAATTATAGTCACAGTCCAAGTTCGGCTGCGGTGTCAAACCCCACTAGCAGTCGAGCTCTGATTACTAATTTCACTAAGGTTATGACTCCAGAGGAGAAGAAACGACAGTGGGAAGCGTATGTATTCATTCATGGCATTTTTGTACAGTCAATTTTTTATACCAGATTTTAATTGTGAATTGCATTTTTGCAGTATGAAGAGTCCTGCTCCTAGCACCCCATCTTCTTCCAAGCCCTTGAGTGCCAAAGGATCAACTGGAAAAATTACTGCTTTCACTCAGCATCTGAACACACCTGGTAGTGCTGAGCCCAGTAAAGTTTCAACAAGCTCTGCAGCTGGTACTCCTACATCCAATCAACCACAAGCCAAGAAGAGAGTAGCCTTGCTCGTGTCTGTTCCTCGAGGGCAACAGATAGCGAGCTCATCTCATTGTAGTTTACTGTCCAAATTTGAAGCTTCAGCTTCTCCTAAGTCCACAGCAGCGGCTGCTGCACCTTCAGAGCCGTCTGTTGCATCACAGGTACCTGTTCCCTCTGTAGGAACCTCTGATGTGAATATTGCAGATTCTAAAATGGATGATGAATGCATTGTTCTTGATTAAAGCATTTTCAATGTGATTGTAGCACCAACTTGACCATTCATGTTTGTCTCCTGGTGCTTCATATTTTATATTGTACTTGTACAAGCGTTTTATATATTCATTAGTCTTCTATCAGTGTTTTATTTCCTGCGCTGTGTATCTTCACTTTTTATCATCACGATTTAAATTTTTTTTATCATAACTAGTTGGATAGTTTTTGGTTTTAAGAATCTTTCTGGTTTATTTACATCTGTTCAGTGACAGTTTTTTTTAGTGTAATTTATTCAAAAGGACAATCATATCAACTTGTGACAAGCAGGGCTAATTACATAAAAAAATATTTCTATGTTGAAATTGAAGACTAGTCACATTGCAATTTTAAATGGTTTAGACTTTAATCTGTTAAATTTATTATTGGTGAGACTGTTGCATGATCGATGAGACTGTGTATGGGTTCCAAATTGGTCTTTTACTAATTTTATTTTGTATGGGACAATAAAACTTCTGCAAATAGTTTATTTTTTATACTCAATATATTTTCTAAACTACTTTGTAGCAGGGTAAGGTATCTAAACAGGGTGCAAACCTTTTAAGTTTTACAAGCATTGATTATTTTATCTTGAATTCCATTCCCTACTTTCATCTTCCAAGGAACCGTTCTTTAAAATGGCTGTATTTTTGTACATTTTCATTACCAATGATGTTAAACTGTTCCTTGCATGTTCTATTTTCAGCATCAAAAAGAAATATTTTGTCAATTTTGTACTGAACAAGAATTACAGTGTACATAATGTTGAAAGTAAATTTTAATGTTATTTTATAAATATTTTCATTTTTTTTCACCTCTCACACCCTGCACTATGGACACATGGACAGTACCTAATTAAAGATGAAGGACATGGAGCTCCCTGCTGATAAGGTTGTTGTTTTCTGAACCTCCCCGTGTGCGGATCAACACGCAGTTCAACACGCAGTTTCCCTGACGGCTTCAAAATGCGAAAGAAGCCCGCCCAGTAGGTGGAATCGAACCACACTGACGCTAGTCAGTTACAGGTTTGAAGCCTGCACCCCGGACCACCGAGGATCAACCGGGCACTTTTCGGTCGCGCTGGCGACGTATATATGCATCCTCATTGTATCCGAAGACGCCAGCGAGAGCGAAGACGTTTCCAGTCTTTGTCGACCTAAAAACAGACCTAGGAGAGAAGCGACATCCTCAAAACGCGAACACAGCCTTTTTTGAGGCACAACCACGCCGAGGAGGCGGCTCGCACGGCGCTTTTCTTGACAGGCCGCTGGGTTGCGGCCGCCGAGGTGATTGCCAGCCTAGAGCCGTCCTAGTTCCGGTCCAGGTGAGGCGGCGCGTCGAATGGGTGGCCTACCCGACCGGCGCAGACGTCACTGCGAGCGGGGCTCTCCCCCCCACGCCTCGCCTGCCTCGCCTCGCGCAGAGCTAATCTAGTACCCGTGCCAGGACTGTGCTTCTGCTGACAGACGACGTAACTACAGTTTACAGTACTCGGCCACGGCCGGTCTCGGACCGCGAGGGTCAGTGCAATGGCAGCTAGGGGTGCTCCAAGCAGCAGCAAGCGAAGGCGGTGCCGACCGTGCACTGCCGCATTGGCCGCGCGGTGACAGCACAGCCCACTTTGGTGCAGATTTATTAACCCCTTCAGTGCAAGTGGGACACGCCCCCGGTCTCTCAAATGTTAATTGTTTGTTCCAGCGTGAAAACCTTATCGCCATCTCTCTCTCTCCGCGGCGGAAGGGACGGACGGGCTGGCTGTCGAGGGGAACCCGGCTTGTCATCGCCGCGGCCTTGGGTCACAAAGCTTCTGAAGTGAGATTTCGCCTTTGACGCATCGCAGTGACCATGCGCCGCCATGCGCTAATCCAGGGCGCACCGCTCCGCCGGGCTGTTCTAGGTGTTCCAGGCTGTCACCGTTGCGTGGCGGGGGTTGGGTGAGGGTCCGGGAGCGTGCCGAAAACATGTGGATACGCGTCGCGATATGATCGAATAGGCGGGGCAGCCAGCGCCCACCAACCCCCCGCCGACCGGCACCCCAAAGCACCCCGTCTTCCTTTCCGGCCCTCGACCACCACCGGAAGTCCACCTGCGGGGGCGGGGCACCGGCATGGCACTGGCATGGCACCGCCGAGACGGCCGCGGTGTGCCACACGACGTGCCCGCGGGGTGGTCTGGTCCGGCCCCACGCGATCCACTTGCTCCGTCTCTCTTGCTCCCACTAGCGCCTGCAATGAGTACGACAGAGACGGGCCGAGTTTTGGACTGAGGCCTAGGAGTGCCTCCTGGTGGCCCGGCGTGGCCCGGCGAGGCCCGGCGGGCCCGGCCATCGGGGTGTTCCTCGCGGCCTCGGGGGATGCATAAGTGGATGGCAGTGCGGATCTCACGCAACCCGGCGGACAGTCACTGCATGACGGCAGCACGTTTCGCTGCGCTGGGGGGACGTGGACGTGGACGACGACGGGGAGGTGCGCTGTGCGTCCGCGGCTCTGGGGGCGCCGGCCCGGAGCATGGAGCCATTTACGCGCGAGCAAATAATGATATTCCCGGCGCGCTTCAGTGCCGCAGTAACACCGCCAGGACCGCCACACTGTAACACGTCACGGCCGGGCCGCTCAAGGCGCGCCGAATTTCACGCGCGTCAACCGCAGCGGATTTCGGTATGATTCGGCCGCCGCGCCTGCTGCCGCTGCTGCCACTCTGCTGCCGCGCTGCTTCCGAACAGGGCCTCGTCGCTCTCTGTGTCGGCGGGGCGGGGCGTGGGGTGCGTGGGGTGCGAGAGAGAGGCCGCGACGGAGCACTGTTCGGACGAAGCCTGCTGCGCGGCGGGGGTGGCGGGGTGGTCGTACAGCCTGCGACTAATGATGGTATCACTGCCTCGTCATCCGGCGACAATTCATTACCCGGTAGCCCATCGCGGCCTGCTGCGGCACTAGCAGGGCAGGGGCATGGCAGGCCCAGGGCAGGGCCGCGGACGTCCGCCTACAACAAACACGAGGGTGGCGTGGCGCCGGCGCCGCGTTCAAGTGCTGGTTGACACCTGTCTTGGCGGCGAGCGGGCCGGGCGGCGGCCCAGCCGCAGATACGGTGGCGGCGCAGCGTTGGCGCGCGCCTTCTGGGAAGACTCTGGGAAGCGGCGAGGCGATCTCCGCGGCCTATTTATTGTCGTCTTGCTTGTGGTTCTTGTGGTCAGCGTTTGAAAACAAGGGGCGCGTGTAGTCCCTCTCTTTCTACGGCGGCGGGGCGTGGGGCGGGGCCAGCGGCCTGCCAGCACCCTTCCGGCACTGATAAGGCTGAGACACTGCCGGCCGAAGCCCGAAACGTGGAGGCGGGCGGCGCCGACGGCGTCCTCGCTGAGTGATCGCTCACCCGGCGGACGCGGCGCGCTCGCGGTGCTCGCAGTGCGCCATGACGGCGACCTCCCGCCCACCTGGAGCCTGATGCCGCCATGCCGCCTAATGGCGTTAGTGAGTGAGACGCAGCAAAGCGCAGCACTCACAGTGCCGTGACGCGTCTCCATTTGTCATCCCTTTCAAAGTAGCCGCGGATGTTGAATGCTGCCCCGGCCTGGCCCGGCGCGAAAGGCCGGCAAAAAAGACCCCTGCCAAGTTGAACCTTCTCTTGGCCACCCCCTCCCCCCGCCCGCGGTCCGCCGCGTCTCAATTTTCGTGCCGTCACTATTTGTGTAGCGCATGGTAAAACATGGCCCGCCAAGTGGAGGCTTTGTGCGCGCAAGGCGCCTTTGGGGTGCCCTGCTGCTGGCCCTGCTGCTGGCCCTGCCCCACCGGCCCCGCCACCACCGCCGCAGTGCTGCTGCAGCAAAATAAGGGAGAAAAACATGAAAAAACAAAATTATTTTGTTAGTGCCAGAAAAATGTCGGCGCCATCGTCGTGTTTTTCAACGGTTTTGCGTGGGAAAGAGATTGATAGCCGCTTTAACATGTAGTGCCGCGCGCAAGTCTGTGTGTGTGTATGTGTGTGAGCGCTCGCGCACGCACAACAGAACGCCCTTCAGGCTGCCCTTTGCAAAACACGTCACACCCCTCGAATTTCCCGTCGGGAACAGAGAGCGACGCGTCCTTCCTCGCAAGGCGATAAGCAAACAGGAGTTTCGACAGAAAAAAAAAAGATGAAATGGGACAAGTTTAGTAATGATTTAGGACCCACCGAAAGGAGTCAAGCAAGGACAAGTCTTCCTATAAACTTTTTGCTGTGTGAAAAGCTTTCAGTGGTCGGGTTGGAAGAAAACACTTTCCCGGGCCGCCACTTTTGCGACCCCTTTCTTTTTCCGTTTCCCCAGTTCGCCGGGGCGTACGACGCACGGGCATAGTGGTGGAGCGGCGTGAGGGCTGCGTGTGACATCGGGATCAATTAGGACGAACCTCCCCCACCCCTTCCCCCTTCCACATTACGGCGGGCACGGCGAGAGGGTTGGTAATGGCTCAAGTGGGACTCGGAGGGACTCGGGAAGAAAAAGGGGAGAATTAGTGAAGAAGTCGCCTGGCTCGTTGCGCCACGCCATGCCGCGCCACGCCACGGCTTGCGGGGAAGGGGTTGTACAGTGTACTGTACAGATCGCTGGGGAGGCCAGGCCAGGCCGCCAGCCCCGCCGCCGAAATGAAGACGTAGCGAGGTGTCGCCGGTTAGTGCAGCTCCCCCGCGCGTGGCGGCGTGGCGGTGCAGCGAGGCCTTCAAGGCCTGGCGCTGCTTTTTGCCTGTTTACGTTGTAACGTTTAATTACTTCCCAACGGGGTCATACCTCTTCCCTTCTCTCTCTCCTCCCCCTCTCTTTCGCTTTCTTTCTCGCTCTCTGGAGGAAGGAGGGGATAAAAGGCCGGGCCGCTTGGGCTGTTTAAAGACTTTGTGAGGTCATTTCGTCACCCTTCCTCGTTCTCATTATTTTCGCCACCCCTCGCGGGCTTATCTCTGGCCGGCAGATGCGCCGGTGCACGCCGAGGCGGCCGAGGTGGGGAGACCGGGGGGAGGCCAAGCCAGGCAGGCATCGCCGCACCTCGCCGCGCCCGCGAAGAAACCTCGCGCTTTTGCCGCCAAGGAACAAGGAACCGGCGAACCGGCCGCCGGCGAGACTCCGCGCGCTAGAGACGCTCCAAGTGCCGGCCTTCGGCTGCCTGCGGCCTGGCGCCGCGCGCGGGGTATCGCTGGGGTCATGGCATCGCACCTGCGCGTCGAAAGTCGAAAGGGTGTCGGCCTCGAGGGTGTTGAGGGGAACGGGGTAGAAGTGGGAGGGGGAAACAACGACGAACATGCGCAAAAAGATAATTTAGCCTCGTGGAAGTTTCGCTGCCCCGGGGAGCAGTTCCAAAAGAGGGTGGAAGAGGTGCGGGGAAGGGGGCGGCCGTGGCCGAGGCCGAGAGGCCCTGGCCGCCCTGGCCGTGCCGCGAGGAAAGCATGTGGACGGGGCTGTGGCCGCAGACGGTGCGGCGGATCGCTTCCCAAGAGGCTGCCGGCCGTTTGCCCTGCCACGTCGCCGTCGGTACGTCTATATTTCGCTGTGGTTTTCTAATTGGTTTCACGTAAAACGACCAAAATAGGTGCGTTATCTCCTGGAGCGAGCGCGGAGATGCCCTTTGGCGGAATGCAGGTCCGATACGAACGATGCCCGCTGCCTTGGCCAAACAGGCCGGCAGCGGGGGCAGTGTTTTTCCCCCCTACACGCGCTCGCGCCCTCGTATAGGACGTGTGCGTGGGTGCTCGTGTGTGAGTGTGGGTGTGTGCGCGCAAATAAGATACACACCGCGCCCAACGCATGTTGTCCTAATCATACACAGCAGATGCGGCAAGTCCGTTTCTTTTTTCCTGTTGCGCGGTGGGAAAATACACAGGGTGCCTTCTAATTTTATTATTTTACAAAATAAACAAAATCAAAGGAAAAATAACGTGGAAGTATAATTTTTGTTTCGTTTTAAGTTTGGCGGAGTGGGCTTTGTTACGGCCTGCTACCAGCTTTCTCGACATTTACGGGTTCACGCCGCTATCACTGCCGTTGTATCTTTCCGGTCGTAACAATGACAATATCCGCGCGTTTTCACATTTTCGCGCGTCCTGGCCGATAGTGGTGCGACCGTCGCGTCGGGTCTGCACGCAACGCCAGTGACCCCAAAGACTAACCAGGAGATCGGAGCGGCAAAACTCGGGAGTGTGCCAAACAGACGTCGGCGCGGTGCGCGATGCACTGGGGGATGTGTGCCAATGGAGCCTCCTTCCCTTGGATTCGCTGGTGAATAAGGCATCTGATTGGGTTCGCAACGCGGCAACGCGGCCAGCAGAGCGATTCCGCACTACCTGTCTCCCTCACGCCTCTGCGGGACGCGCCGTGAGTGCGAGAGAGAAGGCGAATGGACTGCCATGGTCAGCACCAAGAGGCCCTCGGGGCGCAGAGTTGCGGCATCTGAGGCCCGTGCCGGCGAAAGCCACAGACTTCCTCATGAATCGGGAAAGAAAAACATCGACATGATGCGTGTACTAAAACGTACAGAGCGCCTTTTTATTATCATCGTGAATTGGTAGGAGAAAAAGTACGTCATACGTGCGACCACAACCGATGGTGAGAGGAGTGACAGAGTAAGGACTAGAATCGACACGATTGTCCGAGGAGTACGTCGTAGGTCTTCAGAGGGCGACGAAGATGCAGCAGTTCTCGCCGTAGCGGCAGTCCGTGGCCTTGTCGTCGCGCACCGTGCAGTTGGTGGCCCTGCACTCGCCGCCCCGCCGCGCGCACCGCGTCTCCCGGACGGACACTGCAAGCGTCAAGCAGAGATGACACAGACGGACAAAAGTATTGCCAAGTTTTGCTTATCGCCCTTTGTCGGCAGTACAAAATTGTATTGCCTAAAAAGGGTTTAGAAGTATCGCCTTTGGATTTCGAGTGGGACACTTGCATAATGAAAACAAAACCCAGCTTAGTTGTCCTCTTACAAATGTTTGGCTACCAGCTTCTGCTTGCAGCAATCGAGTTTTGCCTATCGATCAAACAAAGTTGACTAGCACGACTAGGTATATTTTTTTCCGTGCGCACGGGTCGACTTGATTGGGGCCGCCTAGCCGGCAGCATGCTGCAGTGCAATGGGTCACAAAGAAACAGAATGATGGCGAGACTCACGGCCGTGGCAGCACTCGACGCCCTGGGCGCGCTGGCGGGGGCACAGGCCTTCGCTGGCGAGCTGGCCCTGGGGGCACTCGTTGGCGGCCAGGCAGATGCCGCCCGCCCTGCTGCAGGGCTCCTCGGGGCTGAACTCGCGCGGCGGCGGCGGGGTGTGCACCGGCACGTACTGCAGCGCCGTCCAGCCGCCCAGCCGGGCCGCGTCGTCCTTGAGCGTGTCCTTGAGCGTGTCCTTAAGCGTGTCCTTGAGCGCCTCCGCGGCGTCTGTGGGCAGAGAGCGAAGAGCACCGCGTTGTCAGGGGCTGTCGAAGCCCGTCAAGAGCCACGTCTCGTTTTGCAGTGCAGGCGGGCATGTGTCGGGCCCTAAACGGCATACGATCAGTTGTGGTCTAGCCCGTAATGGTAATGGCACGTCGGGAAGGCGGCCGCTCGACACGAGTGCATCCGGGACTGCCTACCCGGCAGGCGCTAGCGCGAGCCTCAACTTCGGTCTGCGCGGCCTGGCCGCTCTCGAAAGCAGGAAGGTTCCTCCATGGCCTTGAAAGATCAGTGCTCGAAAAGATTTCGAGGGAGGGTCCGACGGGGGCTGTAATAGTTTTCCAGCGGGTCGATCTCTGTATTTTTGTTTTCGAGGGGCTTTTCAACAGAATGCAGTGGCACCGGCCCCACGGCGCGGGTCCCTTCCCCGGCGCGCCGCGGCGTTCCGTTGTCTGTCGCCACGCAATCAACCACCCGCGTCAATTATGTCTTCTCAAAAAATGTGAGCAGGAAAATTTGAATAAATATCTCGGAAGTGGGCCGGCCTGGGCCGTCACACGGGCAGGGCATGGCGCGGCCAGCCCGCAGTATTCAAATGTCCGAAACACGTCGGGGCCGATAAAGAAGTGGCGTGTTTGCCAAAGAAAGGAAGCGAGCAAACTTCCCCTCCTATCTCTCTATCTCTCTCTATTCATGCGCGGCGACGCGGCGAAGTGGCGACCTCTCGCGGCAATAAAAATGGGGCGGCTTCCGTTCCGAAACGGCCGGCGAGACGACCAGAGCGACGCGTTTGGCGCGCTGGCTGCGAAGCGCGAAAAGTGTTGGATTCACACGGTGTTAGTGCAGGGCACCGGGGAAGTCCCTCGGATGGCGCAGCGAGCCGACTGCGCGGCGATACACTGTGTAAGCCTCGGTGTAAGCTAACATTGTCGTTCGAAAGTCCCGATGTCGACGTCTCTGCTTGCCCAGAGCTCACTTTGTAGGACAGCCGATCTGTGTCGTGCAAATAAACGGTCTTGGCCTCCGCAGGTGCCAGCCCGAAGGCCAGCCGACCCGCGGAGCCGACCTCACCTTTCTGCTCGGGGGCGGCGGCCACCATCAGCACCACCAGGGCGGCGGCCAGCGCGGCGGAGAGCGTCATCGTGGTGCTGGGGGGCATGGCGTTGACGCGAGCGTTGACGAGGTCGGGGCGGGGGCACTGCTCGGCTTGCGACGGTGCGACGGAGTGACGGCTGGCGGTGCGGCAGTCGGCTGCAGACTGCGCTGTGTAGCGCTGTGCGGGTGTGGCCGACGGACACCTACCGGGCCGCGGGGTGGCGGGGTCCCCAGTCCCCGGTCCCCGGTCCCCGCACAGGGACCCCCACGCGTCTTGTCTTTATCGCACCGGCGTCTCGCGGCCGGCCACCGCCACCGCCAGCGGGGCCAGCGGGGCCAGCGCGGCCAGCGGGGCCACTTGGCCGCGTGTGACAACACTGTCTGTCTCGCTTTCTCCACACGTAACCCGACCAGGACGGCCGTCCCGTCCAGCGCGGGGTCGAGTGTCGAGTGTGGGGTCACAGCCTGAACGGCCGCGTCCAAGCCCAGCAAAAATGGAGAAGCAGTTTTTCGTGCCTCTCTTTGGTGTTCTTCATCGCGTTCGGTGTCGTCGTCTTGTCTGGAGAGGAACGCGCACCAAGGCGAAGCGTGAAGCGGCGAGACACCTCGGGGCCGCCGGGCACGCCGGGATACGCCGGGCCGGGGCGGCGCGGGCCGGGCTAGAGGCCAGGCCAGGCCGGCCAGTTTGCAGTTCGTAAAACGGGGCGTAAAGCGTAGAGCGGGTGCGCAGAGCGTCGAGCAGAGCGCGCCGACCGGGCGAGTCAAGTCATGGCGGCGTCCAAGGCGCGGCGGAGGCGGCCGTTAAAGCCTCGGTCTCGGTGGCGTGCATCGTCGTTTCGTCACTCCGGCCGCGCTTCTGCTTCTCGCTGCCGCCACTCGTTCTGCCCATGCGCGCCCCCTTGGCCTCTTCCGGGAGCTACCCGCCAGGCCAAGTCAAGCCTGCGCGTCGGGGCCGTCCGCCTGGCGGATAGGCAACCCTTCCGTCACCTCGAGCTCCGTTCAAACATCGTTGTGCGCCCGATTTGTGGTTTGGCAGGCAGCCCTCCGCTGTTCGCCGTGGCCGTCACATCCCCTTCGCTGGGTCTGCGCTGAGCCACCGCGCTCAATAAACTGAAACCCCGCCGCACTCTCACTCTTCCTCCGCCTTCGTCCGACGGCACGGCCTCCTCTTCCTCCTTCCGGAAAACGCGCGCACGCAGGGGGTTTCGGCGGGCAAGCCGGACGGTGGCCGCCACCGCACAGCGCCGCACCGCGCCTCGCCGCCGCGCCCAGCAGCACCGCGGCAGGCAACCCAATCTGCATGCGCGTCCACAAAGCTGCCCAGCGCCGGGGCGCCGGACTGCGCCTGCGTGTGTGTTCCTGTGTGCGTCTGTGTGTGCGTGTGTGCGTGCGCGCGCGCTGTGTTTACGGCGGCTGCCGAGGGTCGGGAGGATTCTGCGGGCCAGATGAAAAGAAAGGTGCTGCGGGGATCAAAGCAAATCTGCGGGGCCGCGCTTCGTGTGCTCGTGGCGGGGCGGGGCGGGGCGGAGCGGGACGGGGCGGGACGGGTGGCCGAGGGCTTACCGCGGTCCGGCGGGTTGCCGCGCGCTGGGCGGGGCGTGGCGTGGCGTGGCGGGGCGTGGCGGGGCGTGGAGTAGGCCCGGTAGCAAGGGGGCCTGGACCATTCCAGTGAGTACACACGCCCTATCATTTACCCTTTTGGACCTGCCGCGCCGCCACTGCGCTTGTGCGTGTGTGTGTGTGTGTGTGTGTGAGTGCGCTCGTGTGTGAGTGTGTGTGTGCCCCCGACGCCCCGCCCTGGTGCCCGGGTTGAGGCGCCGTTTGCACCTATAAGTGTATAATTTGTAGTGTGCTTCAATTGGAGGCGGGCTGGGTTTGGTCTGCGCCCGGGCTGGCTGGGCTGGCTGGGCTGGCTCGCTGGATTTGTGTCCCCCGACTAATGCTCCATCTGATGGGCCGATAACGGCAATGGCGGAGGAATGTTAAAAGTGAGGCCCGATTCCAATGAGCGTTTATTGGGTAAAACGCGCTCATCTTGACGTGTGTGTGTGTGTGTGTGTGTGTGTGTGTGGTGTGTGTGTGTGAGAGAGAGAGAGAGAGAGAGAGAGAGAGAGAGAGAGAAGAGAGAGAGAGAGAGAGAGAGAGTGTAAGTGCGTGTGTGGCAGGTGGAGGGGTCGTAGCGCGTGCTACCGAGTACCGACTAAACACTTTCAATCTGTGGATATTACGGCATTGACGTACAGGGAAGGGGCGGGCTGGACCGTTTTGGAGCGCTTTTGGGGTGGCTGCTGGCCGCGCTGCTGCGGCTTTCTGCCTTCGGGTGGAGTCGCGCAGCTGCGGCGCTTTTCGGCGATTACCACCTTTTACCCGAGGTGGTCATTGGGGCTGATAGGCAGCGAGCCGCTTCAAAGAAAAACCTGCCGGTCTTTCAGTATGATATCGATGTTAGTCACTGCATCTCAGTGGCCAGTAGTCATCTTCTCATCAAATGACTGATGTCCTTGTTCCGCCTGAGACACACCCTCGCGTACAAGATATTTTCGCTTGTGAGGCCGGCGCCGGGACGACACGCGGGCCCTTCGACGCCGTGGCTTTGAACGGCTTCTGGGAAGGACGACGCCGGGACGGCGGCATGGCGGCAGGCCGAGCGCCGTCTTGCGCCGTCTCTAGGCGTCCCTAGTCGCCGCGCCGTCGCCGTCCTGCCGGCTGTGGCGGGGTCGGCGGGCTGGCGGGCCGGCTGCTGGCTGGCGGGGCCTACCGCCGCCCGGCCCGGCCGCCCCTTTTCCGAGTACGACCATTAAACGACTGTTGATCGTGGGAGCGGGATAGCCGGGGAGAGACATGCACCCCTACGTCCCTGCGTCGCCGCGCCGTCACGCCGTCGCCGCGGCCATGTCGTTGCGTGCGCGGTGCGCGGTGCGCGGCGTGCACTGCAGGCAGTACGTGCGGCAATTACCGACCGAGCGACTTCTCCGATCGGCGTGGCGCTTATCGCCCTGCAGCCTCTGTCTCTCTCTTTCTCTCGCGCGGTGGCCGCACGGTGGCCGCACGCCCCACGAGTGCGAGCGAGACAGCACGACGGCCGAGTGAAAAGCTTATTGGCGATGCCAGGCGATAGTGCCAATGTGCGGCGTGCTGCACCGCGTCGCACCGTTCCCGCCGTTCGCGCCGCACGGCCACCGCCACTGGTCAATCATGGCGCCTTCCCACTTCCAGCGGGGCCAGGCTCGGCGCGCTCGAGGAAGACAAGTCCGTGAGCCTCCCCGCGCGGCCCCTCCGACGAGAGCCCCCCGCGGGGCCACTAGGGGCCACTAGGGGGCCAGCAGCCCCAGGGGCCCATTGTCCAGGAGGCAGGCCGGTTGTCGTTGTTTGTTGTGGCCTGCCGGCCTGCCTGGCCGGGCCTAGCCGTGTAGTAGGAGCCACCAGTCATGTCGGACGGCGGCGGCCGCGGCGGCGTACCGGGCCCGCCCACTCCCTGTACGGGACAGCGACAAAACAAGTTGGGCCCTGCGACCGGCCCTGCGACCGGCCCTGCGACCGGCCCTTCCAAGCAGCGTGGCCGCCCCTCCGAGTCCGATCGTGGTCCGATCGGGCCGAAGGACGCCATGCCGCACTGATTGGAGTCACAGTAAATCAGACAGAGAGGAGAAACGACAGCGTCGCTTTTCTTTTGGTGCGGTGGCATCATCAACCACTATCCCGTTTCCCGGGCCGACAATTAAAAGGAGTATCGACCATCTTAATTCAGCCGAATCTGTCCATTTTTATTTCCTTTTCGTTTGGCGGCGGTGTGTGTCGCGGACGCTCGCGAGGGTTGGCCGGCCAGACAGACGAAGCAGACGGCCAGACAGACTGCGGGTCCGCGATTGAGACGCTGATGGGGCGGCGAGTCCGGCTGGGTCGGCCGGGCGGCCCACGCCTCGCCGTGAGATATCCTCATCTCCTCCGGGATTTTGATCCACATTGTTTTAATTGCGACTGGATGCCATAACGCCATGGGTCGTCTGGCCGAGGCGGGGCGGGGCGGGGCGGGGCGGGGCGGGGCGTCTTCATTAGGACCCACCTCCCGGCATAAACTCGGCCACGCCGACGCGGCGGGTGCCGCTCCACAAGTCGACGTCAAGTAATGGCGCGGCCGCGGGGACCCCCAGGACGGCGTCGACGAGGACGGCGACGACGACGCGGTGGCGGGGGCGTCGTGGGGGCGGTGGGGTTGGCAGCCGCGACAGCACCGCGATGACGGTGAATTCGGCGTTCCGCGCGGCGGCTCGACGCCCCGCTGCCACGCCACCGCGGTCCGCGGATGCTACATCTAAATTTTAATCTCTGTGTCGTGCTGCCGCGCGGCCCTCTACCTTATATCCAGCCGGAGATTTATTCCCGGGCGGGGGATATTTTATTGTTTATTGGTCCGGTCGGAAAACCACAGAAGCGAAGCAAGCGAAGCGCGCGCCGAGTCCGGCGGCAGGCTCTCCGAACCGCGCGTTCGTCGCTCTGTCTCTCGCGCACTCAGGGGTGGGCCGACAAGGCGCGAGAGAGACAGAGCGGTGAAACGCTGAGAAGTCCTTCCCCCGCGCTGCCGCGGCCCGACCTCGGGAGTTGGACGCGCGGCGCCCCGCCGTACGGCCGTGCCGCCGTGCGTCACGGAGTCACGCCGCGCACGCACTTCCTACTCGCTGGCCGCCGCCCGTTTTCCAAGCGGAAAGTGACACCACTGATTTTCGGGTTCATTTCTTTGTCGGGCGAACGTGCACCAGGCCTGACGCCCGCCGCACTCTTCCGCCTCTCGCCGCCCCGCGTCCCTCCGCCCTTCCGGCCCTTCTCCACCTCCGCCACCTGCCCGGCCGCCTCTTTCACCATTTTTTCCGCGATGTCACTGAACGGCCGCCTCTCCGCCCGCCTTGTGCAACAGCGGCCCGGCCCGGCACTGGCGGGGCGCAGCGGGGCGAGGCACGGCCTGGAGGGGGAGGCACCGGGCCTTACGCCGGCCGTGGCGTGGCGTGGCGTGGCCGTGGCGTGGCCGAGCTGGGACAGCTGCGGTGTAATACATTTCGCGCAGAAGTATAGGTGTGCTGCTCTCCGACACCGGCATCGGAACGCCTCCCTCCCCGGTGGAGGCCGGGCGGGGCAGGCCGGCCAGGCGGCAGCGTGCAACTTGAGTGTCGATGGTATCGCGACGTATCGGTAATTTTCGTCTCGTTTCGGTCGTG